ATGCAGATCTCTTGCTTGTAAATTCTATCAAGATTTATTTATACAATATTATATCACACTTCTAATATCTAGATAAAATTAGTACAATGAGATTTATAAGGTTATAATCTTAGAAACAAACAGAATTTACTATAAGTTAGATACAAAGGTTTAGGTAATTATTCAAATTTATTAATATTGGAATTTGAACTTTAGACCTCTTGCATGGCAGTCTAGCAATCTAACTATTATACTAAGATCACAAGACCCTTAATAAATAACTTATTTAAATTTATATATTATTAAATTTTCATAAAAATTAATTAAAAAATAAAAGTTTTTTTTTGTTATTAAAATAGTTTATATTGCTAAGTAGATTTTAATAGTTAGTATATATGAGATTATCTATTAACAAATCTCTACAGTTTGTAATTACATAATGAGTATACAATCTGCTACATATATAAATTTAGTTATTGTTTAATTTAAGTAGTTTGCTATATAGATAGATTACTTGTTTGGTTCTATATGCTGCTATATCTGTAATCTGCTTATGAGTTACCTATTTAAACATTTTGTTTAACTAACCTATACTAAAATTAACTAATATTACTATAACACCTAACTGCTTAAGTTAGCTAGCTTGTTATAGATTTATTTATCTAACTTAGCTTAGATTATTTCAAATTATACTATCTTTAATATATTATAGTATTTGCAAAGCTAGTTAATTTTGAAATATATCTACTAAAGTAGTCTGTATCTATTTTATAGATTTACTTAGCTTAAACTCTTGTAATATTTGTGCAACTTTAGTTCTTACTATAGCTCTCTACTGATATTGTTTACTGATCTCTTTAAATATTTTACAAGGTAGATTCTCTCAAATCCAGTTAATTACTAAGCTAAGTTAGTATTGCCAATTCTTCTCATAAAACAGATCTACTTATATCTAACTTAATTTATATTTTTAAGTGATAGTTTCTATTCAGATCAAGTATTAGCTAGTATAACTATTAAAAACTATACTATTTTACTAACTTAGAGTTTCTACTATGCAAGTTTCCTGCTTATAGATCCTATTAAGATTTATTTGTATAATATTATATTATACTTCTAATATTTAGATAATATTAGTATAATATAATTTACAGAGTTACAATTTCAGAAACAGATAAGGTTTACTGTAAGTTAGATATAAAGGTTCAGGTAATATTCAAATTTATCAGTAGTAGGATTTGAACTCCAGACCTCTTGTATGATAGTCTGACAATCTAACTACTATACTAAGATCATCAGATCTAAAAAAATAAAAAAGTTTTATTAGTAATATATTTTAATTTACTATATAAAAATCTATTATATCATCTAAATCATATAAAAAATAATCTATATCATCTTACCTTTAAACCCTTATTGATATTTATACAACTCTAAATTTTATTATAATCTTCTACTAGTTAGTTGACTTAGTTTTTTTTTAGTATTTAACTAGTTACCTTACTTTTTTAGCTAATAATTTTGAAACCTTCTACTTTTATTATATTGAATTTTCTTTTTGAATTAGACTTTAACTGATATAATCTTATTGAAAAACTATATTACTTTACTAATACAGAATTTTTATTATATAAATCTTCTGCATATATATTCTATTAAGATTTCTTTGTATAATATTATATCATACTTTCAAGTTCAAATTGATTTAGTATAACTTAATTTATAAGAATACATTCTCAGAAATGAGCAGAATTTGTCATCTGAAAAATTATTCATATTTATCAATAATAAAATTTGAACTCAGACCTATTGCATGATAGTCTAGCAAATACTAAAGTTATACAAAATAAATAATATTTATCTATATATAAAACTAATAAACTCGATAAAATTTGCTAGCAATATAGGCTATCTTATACTAAAAAGAAAAAAAAACAATACAGTATATTTGTAAACTAGTTGTTTTTATTGAAGTATTTTAAAATGATTTTTGAGGCTCATATAAATAGATTGATCTTATTGGTTACCAGTTACGTGCTTTAGCTAAAATTTCGAAGATCGAAGGATCGTTTGCAAAGACCAAGACTGGACTAAAGCAACTATTGGACCGGTCTTATCGTGAACTAGAACGGACTGGACCGGACTGATCCATCCCCATAGAAGATTAATATAATCTATATTGATCTTAATATTTACTAAAGGTTTTATCTAAAAGTTAAGGTTTTTATAATGTTATATCGCTGAAAAACTTTACTTGATAGCTAAAAGCCAAATTTCTATAGCAAATTTATGAATTATTCTGATTTTATTTACATTGTGTACGTTACACGTCAGATTGGGCAATAATCAACAACCTAAATAAAGTATTATCGTTATCTGTTATACTAGCAAAAGAGAAAAAGATAACATGTATCGAACGATTTAAATGTAACACAATGCAATCAGGAATCTTTTACTTTATCAAGCAGATAATATTTTAAAATTTTAATTATTATTTTAATTAAAAAAAAAAATTATTTCGATATTTTGGTATAATTTTTGTTTTAAATCTAACCTTAATCAGTCATTTAACTGTATAATAAGTTTTAAATAAAAGTTCTTATCAAACAGGGTTAAAGCCCATTATGCATTAAATAAAATATTTGATATGAAATAATAAGCTTTGAGTTGAAAATTTTATTAATAAATTTGACAAAACTAAATAAACGTTTTGTGATATTATTAAATAAATTATTATTCAATATTTTATTTATATAACTTATGTAGACTTGGTACAATATTAATGCTTGAAGTTACTAAATCAGAGAATAGTAGAGAATAGTGCGTCGTTTCCCTCCCTAATATGCACTACCCTTTCTCTGAAACAGTTTCTACCTTCTTCTTTGTTAAGTAAGAAACATGACCAAATAATTGAGAAAATTTGTCGATAAGACATAATATGGTGAAATTTATCGCGAATATAATGATTCCCTACATTATTGATTTTCGGCGGCATGTTTCAATATGGTAAATGACCGATTATACGCGACATATCATCTATTTGTACTACATTTTAGCAAGTACCCTATGTGGATCCGTATCATTTCACCGACAATCATTTCATCGACAGCTCATTTAGCAGACATCACACCAAGTGACAATATACTAAAAAATATAACTAAAACTAATAAAACCCTAACCCTAACCCCATGTGATGTCGGCTAAATGAACATTCGGTGAAATGACTGTCGGTGAAGTGAGCGGCACCGCCGTAGGTACATACCTCTAACTAATTTAATATTCTTTTTCTAGGAAATTAGAGCATGAGTCTGATATCTTTTTTTGAAGGATTTTTGTCTTAATTCCTCGAAGTAAAAACAGAAAGGTTCAACTGTTATTCTATCTGCTATTGTGCTTGGGAATTTAGTTAATATAAACAACACTGATTGAAAGCGAGAATTAACCTTGTTTATCTATTTTTTTAACATTACATAATGTTTTCTGCGTCACTTTGAAAGAATTAATAGTCATCTTCATTATAAAATAAAACCATAAATTGTGCTTATGTGAAATACTTTCCTAATAGATTACATTATAATGATCAAAACTGTTTATAGCTGGTTTCATAATTATTGGGCACATGAATTCATTGTGGCCGCACACATAGAGCAATAATAAATGCATTATTTTTGCCGGTAGCTATGATACGATTTAGCCATTTTTGTGCTTCCCAACATATTTAGAAAATGCTTAGAATTCTATCTAATCTGCAATAGCCTAGATAAACACCAATGAAATAATGTTTTCAGCCATATATCAAAAGTAGGAAGTTAGAATTTCGTTTATCTCATTCGTTTTAATAAATGAAATAAGAAAATATCACATTATTTGTGTTGTACATATATCCTTCATTGAGTAAATATGTATTAATCAGCATATTGCATGGTTAACAATGCTAATAATAAGTGTTTATGGGGTCCCGGCATATATTTTCGCCTGTTTTTGTTCATTGATTTTTTTGAATAATTGCTCTTAGACTAGCTATAATTTTATCTCTTTAAAAGTAAACATTCGGATAAAGTAAATATTAATAATTTGTTAAAGCATTATTGCTACACTATAAATAATAAGGAATTAAAAAAAAATTTAAAATGTATAATAATTATAAACTAGTTTACGCCGACAAACGAGTATATTAATCCAATTTTGCAGATTATAATAAACTAACCTTTCGTGTCTGAGACTGACAAAGACGGGTAATGAATCAATTTCCATTCGAAAATGTGATAATTTACCAAAGATATTATAAATAGAATATTATGAGTTTTGACATTCCTGAATTCATACATCTTTTAGAATTTAATAAAATAAAAAGGGTTTGTAAAGCCATATATATATATATAAACTTTTGGCGCGGAATTGCTAAATGATCTAATGATCTAATGTCTTGAAAGTCTTGATATGCAAAAAGAGCGGCAATAGCAGTTATTCTTTTCTAGGAAACAACAAGAGCATGATTATTCAATGATCACAAATACTAGAAATTCTTGATTACTTAGCCAATTTACGTAATTTGATTGGCAAGATAATAATCGGTTTTTTATCGCATTTACAGTAAAGTCAAAAAAAAGTTTATATTTTATGCATGATGTAGTATAAAGCTTTAGCTGTCAAGATACTCCCGATTAGTTTAGCACAACATGTTAATTGCATACTCCTTATATTAGCCATGCTTATGTCGTACGACAATAGGGACAATTTCTTTTGGTTTTTATCCTTTTTAACCTGTAAAATAAAATGAAAAAATAACATTACAATAATGCAATTTTTTATACAAATTGTGGACTTTTCCGACTGAAAATTTGTTTCAATGATCTGATCAATTCTCATACGATGTGGTCATTTCTTTGATCATTTTCGAAGATTGGGGTTTTTATCCTTTTGCCAATACTATCGATATAGACGATGAACGGTTTAAATACCTAATATCATTCATACTTTCCGTTTTGTTACCTCTTTTCTTCGTTTTGGTTGACGAATCGATGAGTATTTGTGGATGGAAATGGATTTATGACATTCAAAACTTGGCAAATTGGCGGTATGTATGATTTTCACTTCTGCTTAATCGATTGACTCTAAAAAATTTACATACTAGCAGTTCCATTAATAAATGCTACGTTTTTGCGTTTCTAATAGAGTTAAATTCCATTTTCGTCTCTTTCGACTCGCTTTCTTAATCTGCTATGATATTCGCATTCTCGCTGAATGTATCAATAATATAGAACTCTTTCCGCGAATGTCCCATTAATCTCAAATATAAAAAAAAAAAAATAATATGAAACATAATTTTTTTTATTTTTTTTTTTTTTAACTCAGATCAAACTTGTGTCCTACAACCAAGTCATCGATTATTATGGAATCCACCAATCCACTCTCTTTTTCGCTTCTTTTTAATTAGGAAATGGTTATGTACTGGTGACTAATCATTTCTGAATGTTGTCTTTTACCTATACTTAGTGTGGGGAAAAATCGATTTTACTATATTCAGGGAGGTTTTAATTTTCAACATAAGCTTTAAAAACACGGGCAAATTTCCTCGAAAAGATTGCCATTTATGCATCCTGATCCCTTTTCCGTACTGGCCTTATTTTTTTCTTATAAATCGAAAATCGTTATTAAAACCGGTATAAATCAATTAATCGTATACGATAATACAAACTTCTGATTAAAAAATTTTTCGTACTTTAAATTTAAGCAAACCTCCCAATTTTTTTCAAATTTGTTTTTATTACGCTGTACTTTGTACGCGAGGCTTTTTAAGAATAGAATAAACTATATGTGTATTAATTTTTCATGTCGTTAAATGATAAGGTCTTAATTAGAAATTTAAGGCATCAGACAAAAATATTAACGATAAAATACTGTAACTCGTATGATGTCATCGAATAAGACGTTTCATTATAAGTGAACACGTGAAAATACTATCAAAAAGTTAAATTACATATAATAAGAAATCTCTATTATCAAAATTACTTTTTGATGATGAAACCAAATTACTTTACAAAAGTTTTAGTGGCGGCATTCAAGCTGAATTAGTTTAGCGTGAAACCTAATTAATACTGAGAAATGATTAACGAGTAATATATGCAATGGCTTATGATTTTAATCATTAATGTTAAGTGTAAATAGTAAAAAAAAAGATTTTCAACGTGAAGGCTTTTGAGATCCTTTTTTGGAAAGAAATGCATTTATATAACAAGAATAAGCCAAAGGCGTGGGATTATATAAACGTTATCAAATGCATACGCATATCTGTGTGTGTACTTTTTTCGCATTAAGTTTTCGATACTACAGGGTCTAAATTATTATGTAACAAGATGATATAATCGCAGGCTTGACCAAGTAAAGTAATGCTTTTGATAACGAACCAATACAAATTTATGTATATCGTAATAAATGACAAATTCTCAAATTTCATTCTGTCGTACCATTTATTTATTCAAGTTTATTATCTATATTTCTATTTAATTTAATTTTGAATACTAGTTTTAACATGTTATTAGTTTTGGGAGATTCAACAAATTATATAATATACGTAGTATAGAATACGTATTAGTTTTTTTTTTTTAGTATTAAGGTAGTCTCTTTGCTGATAAGAGTTTTATTAATTTGATATATAAAGCTATATAAGAATAATATCTACTATATATTAGTTACATAATTGAGTATACAATAAGTTACATATATAAGTTTAGTTATTGTCTATTTTAAGTATTCTGCTAATTAATAACTTTCAATAGCAGTTAAATCACCAGTTTAAAAAATTTCGCTAATCACGTGATATTAATTTCACAGGATTGCAAATTAACCGATAAAATTTTAACTGTTATTCTCTGCTTCGCAAAGGATAGTTGATGCTTTTACTACAATTATCACCTTCGCTTTAGTATTTTATTTTTTTACTAAAATCTAAAAAAGATTTTTAGTTGCTTTACTCTAACTCTAAATTTAAACAAAGTTTTTAATTAAATTGAAGACTTAAGATTAATAAAAATAAAAATATTTATACATAGTAATAATTATTATCATACGTATGCTTGAACCATATTACTAATATATCTTTATTATATAATATAAAAAGAAATCAACAAGTTAGTCTTTAGTATAGACAAAACTTTTATATTATTTAATCTTTTCTTTATTTTTTTTTTTTTTTTCTTTAATCTAATTCATCAAAGTTTAGTATCTATTTAATCTTATTCTAACTTTAATATAATTGCTAATTCTAATCTTTAATCTAACTACTAATAACAATAAGTAACAAGTAATATAAATATTAGCAAAAATATTAAATAATAAAAATATTACCAAAGTTAAGTAGAAAAAATTAAAATAAATATTTAGTAAATAGTAATAATAAAAGCAAAAACACAATAGTAATAAAAGTAAAATACTAGCAATTAATATTAATATCAAAAAACAATAATACTAAGAACAATAGTAAAATATCAATAAATAATAATGATGACAAAAGTAAAACTACTATTAAATAATAATAACTAACTTATAATATTTTCTATCTAAAACAATAAACAAGAAAAATCAAATTAGTAAATATAATAGTAATAAAAGTAAACTACTAATAATTAATATTAATATTAAAAAATAATGATACTAAAAAATAATAACAAAAATATTATCATTCAAAAAACTCTCTTCATTGATCATTCTAACCAAATTTGAAGCAGAAAGAAAAATAAAGAAAACACAAATTTTTACTAAGAACAAGCATTAAAGCTACTAAATAAAAGAAAGCAGAAGAGGAAAATACATATAGTTAAATAGAAGAACAGAAGAAAAGCTAAAGAAAAATAAAAATATAGAAGAACTTTTGACTTTAGAACAAACGTCAAAAGTTTTTTTTAGAAATTTAGGGAATCAAACAAATTCTGAGACACAGATTACTTAATATAGTACAAATACATACAAATTAAGATAAACAAAATACATTATAGATAAACTTATATATCATATACTTAATAATAGAAATAATACACACAAGACCAAAACTAAACAGCTTACTAGTAATTAGAAAAAGTTACAGAGAATTAACAAAAAAGATGAGATTACTTTATAAATAGAGTATAAAGCTAGAAAATATATAGAATAGAGCTAAAGTAATAAAATTAGTTAAAGTAGTTACAAAAGAATATGGCAAAGAAATAATAGCTGAAGGGAGTGATGCTATAATGGGTCTTGAAGACTATATAGATAAAATGATTGCAGAAATTTTAGAAGTAGATAATAATATAGTAACAGTAGTGAAAGAATAGAGAAAAGTAATAGAGAGAGCAGCAATAACAGAAAGAATTGATAAAGTAAAGATAGTATTAGAACAAAAAATCTAAGACATAATAGTAAGAAGAGATGAACTAACAACACAAGAGAGAGAGAGTAAATCAGATATAGAAATAGCAGACTAAACAATTTCTACAAAGATAGGTGATAGTACAGAAGAAAAACAAGCCTTTCTAGAAAATCATTTTCTAGTAGTGAAAAAAGTAAAAAAAATTGTAGCCTTATATAAGATGTTAAAAAAATCTAAAATAAAGAGATCCTTAGACCAAATATAAATTTCTACTCAGATACTACAGAAAAATCAGAAGATAATCTGATACCAGCTAAGTCTAACTTCTTTCATGAGAAAAGCATATGGGCACTAAGTAAAAATAGGTGTGAAGGAAAAAAAAATATAAAAGCAAAAGTAGTAGCTATTAAAGTACTTAGAGATAATTCAAGTCATAAAGAAAAATCTCTTAGGTAGTCAATTAGAAGAAATATTCATCTTAAAGAAATATTTGAAAAATTTGAGTAAGGTAAATTATGATATACTCTTATCTTTGACTGTAAGAAAAGCTATAAGAAGGCTAAAAGAAAACTAGAAAGTAGAAAAGAAGAATATGAGTAAGCTAAATTGATTCATAAAGATAATATAGAGAAAAACAAGACTACTAAACTTCTAGATAGTCAAAATAGAGAGAGTATTATTACAGATACAAGAAAAAAAATAAAGAACAGGTAAAGGTAGAGTTAGAAAAAGTTCTAACAAGAAGGAAAAAAGAGATATAATTACCTTAGATCAATATGAATATGCAAGTATAGAAAATTTTATAGCCTAGCAAGACTCCAGCAGCTCAAACAAAACCAAAGAGAAAAATAAGATAATAGTTTGGGACTTGCCAAACTAGGCAAAAAGAACTCAAGTTTTGAGATAGTTAAGTTTATAAGGAGAGTAGAATATATAGAGATGATCAAAAGTATATATGATAAAACAAGAGCAGAGATTGAGTTTAAAGCAGGCACCTATGATGAAAAGAAAATGAATGAAACTTGGTATTGACTCTTTGTGAATCAGGTATTAGTAAAGGTAACAGTAGGAACTAATAATTTTGAATTACTTTGCATAAGAAACAGATTTAGCAAAAGACTACTAGACCTATCAGAAAATATAAATGAAGTACTGCTCTAGAGACAAATCAAGAATTCTGAAGCCAAAGTATTATATATTTTCCAAAATGCTAATAATAATAATATGAGTAATACAACAGTCACTAGTTGAATAAATTTATACCAGTAAAATATTATGACCTATCAGTATAATAATATTTCTGATATAATACTAATTTTAAACAGATATTTGGTGCAAATAAGATATTTTTTAGTAACAAATCAGATTTAAAAAAATTAATAGAGCTATCAGCATGCTAATAGAGCTATTGGCATACTGATAGGACTATTGTTTAAATATCAGTTTATTATGATATTTATATAATAGCCATATTAGCATGCTGATAGCTCTATCGATTATTTTAAATCTGATTTATTACTAAAAGGTATCATATTCAAGCCAAATATTTGTTGAAAATCAAGCTTATATCAAAATATTGATATGCTGATAGGTTACTAGTATAAATTTATTCGACTAGTGAGTATATTTTAAAAATCAAGAATATATAATAAATATCTTTAGAATTTCAATATACTACTATAATAACAAGCTAAGATGAGCAAATACAAGAAGCCAAAAAGTGGAGTTACTAAAAGATCAGAGAGCTAAAGCTTTTAAAAAGAATGAAGTAGTTATCAAAAGAACTAAAAAGAGTTTAGAAAAAAGAAGAGACTTTGAACAAGAACAAGAAGGTGAATATTTAAAATATGTACAAAAAAGAATACAAAAAAGAGAAAGTTATTAGCAAGAGGCTTTAATTAGTTTAGCACTAAAAGAGTATAAAGAAAACTAGAAAATATATGGAAGAGCTCAGACTATGTCAAGTGATAGTGAAGAGGAAAGGTCTAAAATGGAAAGGAAAAGTAGTATTTAAAAGAAAATAAGAAGTAACAAGAGAGAAAATCTAAATAAACAAAGCTATCATATAAATCACAACAAGTTTCTAGATTATATAGCTCAATTAATATAAAACTT